TTGAAAACATGGTCCAGTCATTCTAGCAGCCGGGGCCATGAGCTCTGTTTTACTGATCTTTTATTCATTCATTTACAAAGACTTCTTGGATGCTGCATCTTAGCTGTGTGAGCACAGCCTTGACACTTACACTCTTGTGCCCCAGCTTCATCATCTGGGGATGATATAAGAACCTATCTCATAGGATTGCTGGGAGAATCACATGATGGATGGGCTTAGAACAGTGCACAGCACAGGGAAAGACCTCAGGAAACATTAGCTTTGTATGTAAGAACCAGCAGGGACTAAGCAGGTGACAGGAGGCTTAACAGAGTGAGAAAAGGTAAGCTCACTTAAATTTTCGTGTGCCAGTAAAGGACATCGAAATCCCGAATCCAGTCACATTCATCTCCCAGATCAATCAAGAGAAATCATTCTGTTTTCTTCAATGGATAAAGGAAACTATTTTCTCTCTGTTGATTTATTTGTTGCAATATCTATATTTTGTTATTTTTAGTTCTGTGATTATGCTTAGGGAAACCTTGTGAAGGTAATTTTAAACGGTCAGTGAACAAAATAACGTCTACCGCTGGGGCACCTAGAAAACAGATCTTTGTTTCAAGTGCTGTGGGTAATGACTGTCCATCGTCAAGCATGTAAAGGCCTTGCCTATCCTTCTTAGGCACCTTCTGCGGGAAGACGAAGCAGGAGCCCTGCATTCCTTGCCCTTCAAATAGTTTCTCCAGCACAAGTGGACAAAAGGGCTGTGACATATGCAGGAAGTGCGAAGGTAAGATTTAAAAGATGTGTTCTTCATCCAGATGTGTCGGGAAGATAAGCTTTTATTCCCTAGTATGCTGGTCTCTCCTGAGAGTCTTATGTGTCACAGATGCTGATTCCTCTGTCAATAAGCAGGTCCAGTAAAATAATTTATTGTAACAGCAATCAGTTGTGGATTGAGCTTTGTAAATATTAGAGGAAACATTCATTTGACAAGAGAGAATTTTTTAAGTAGCAAAATACAAAACTGTCTTCTGTAGTTATTTTGCAGTAAACTTTATACTGTGAGGTCATTAGGACCGGTAGAAGTAGAGTGAGAATGGTCTTTATTACAGAATATAAATTTGCTTCCTGGATTTGGGGGTCAAGTGTAATGTAACCCTGGGGGACTTTGTAGGTATTTTCAGGACGAAGAAGGCGTGTTCCCCCACCAGCAATGCCGAGTGTGAGTGTGTGTCAGGATTCCACTGCCAGGGGGCAGGGTGCACCATGTGTGAAGAGGACTGTATTCAAGGTCAAGAATTAACAGAAGAGGGTAGGTTTGCTCTCCTTCAATCTAGTGCAAATTTGTTATCTAAACATACGTCATTAGCTTAGGTCTTGGTCCTTCGAATAGAAAATACCACATGGTAGGGGAGGGATAAATTAGGAGTTTGGGATTAGCAGATACAAACCGCTATATATAAAATAGATAAGCAACAAGGCCTTACTGTATAGCACATGGAACTATATTCAATATCTTGTAATAGCCTATAATGAAAAAGAATATATATGTATAACTGAATCACTATGCTGTACACCAGAAACTAACACAACATTGTACAACCTTAAAGTAATAAGTAATGAACCACTGAGTCAATTATATGATATTTACAAAATTATTGTTCACTCAGTGGAAATAATTAGAATCCCAGCATTTGTTATTCACCAGAACCATGCGTTTTCATACATCCTATACAACACTACAATTAGAATAAAACCTTTAGTCATATTAGGGTTGCATTTCAAGAAAAACTGTTGACCAATCTGCGTAGATTGTATTAAGCTAATGACTTAGTTATGTGATTATGTTTATCACATAATATTCCAGAATTGTTCATCACTAATAAAGTTCACAAGGCATTGTTGAACAAGTGTATAGATTGTATTACCTTAATGACTTTATTATTATGTGATCGTGTACATCACGGGGAAAGTTACAAAACTATAAAAA